ATGATATGTTGTCGGAGAACCAAGTGTGTTAGTCTCATGATAGTTTGTCTGAGAACCAAGTGTGTTAGTCTCATGATAGTTTGTCTGAGAACCAAGTGTGTTAGTCTCATGATAGTTTGTCTGAGAACCAAGTGTGATAGTATCATGATAGTTTGTCTGAGAACCAAGTGTGGTAGTCTCATGATAGTTTGTCTGAGAACCAAGTGTGTTAGTCTCATTATAGTTTGTCTGAGAACCAAGTGTGTTAGTCTCATGATAGTTTGATAACATGATAACATACAATAAATCCAACGAGGAAAGGCTTTACATGTTTCAATGATAAGTCTATCTAAAGGACATTTACAAGTTGAGTGAGATGTCTGTTGACAACATACAATCAACCCAACAAGGAAAGGCTTTACATGTTTCAAAGATAAGTCTATCTAAAGAACATTTAGAAGTTGAGTAAAATGTCTGTTGACAACATACAATCAACCCAACAAGGAAAGGCTTTACATATTTCAAAGATAAGTCTATCTAAAGGACATTTACAAGTTGAGTGAGATGTCTGTTGATAACATACAATCAACCCAACAAGGAAAGGCTTTACATGTTTCAAAGATAAGTCTATCTAAAGAACATTTACAAGTTGAGTGAGATGTCTGTTGACAACATACAATAAATCCAACAAGGTTAGGCTTTACATGTTTCAATGATAAGTCTATCTAAAGGACATTTAGAAGTTGAGTGAGATGTCTGTTGACAACATACAATAAATCCAACAAGGTTAGGCTTTACATGTTTCAAAGATAAGTCTATCTAATTTGATATTTAGATTTTAAAATGTCAAAATATTTCCTACAAAAAGATCATATTGGGTTACACATTCATACTTACCTGAACCCATCTATAGTTTCTCACTCCAGTTTCTTACAAGGATACTTGGAAGCCACTTGACTAAAATCTGTAGAAAAATACAAGAATCAACCACATGACTTTATTAAATTCACAGTCCTCCGTAGATAATAAACAAAAACATCAGATAATTATGTTCACAATTTGAAACTGTCAAAACTATAGTTTTGTTTGATTGGCAGCTTTCAATGATTAAATTAGTTTTATTTTCTATTTAATGTTTTTCAAAGGTTCTCACGTACTTCCAGAAAGATCTCCACAGATTAGGAACCACTGGGTTACATTATGCTTTACTCCAGGTCCAGAAATTTTTCTTCGCCCTATGCCACCATTTACATTGTTCAGTAAATATAAATGGATTATTTTCAAATCATATAATAATAAGGAACGCAACTGATATGTTTATTCAAAAAACAACCCGAGTTGAAATATAGACATCGAATGAGTCAAGCAGGGTTATAGAATCTATTCGATGTCTATATTTATGAGTCAAGCAGGGTTATAGAATCTATAAATATAGACATCGAATGAGTCAAGCAGGGTTATAGAATCTATAAATATAGCCATCAAATGAGTCAAGCAGGGTTATAGAATCTATTTTTCAGAGACATGTAATTCATCTGGAATGTTTAAATAAATGAACTGTGTTTGTATTACATATTCATTACTACCTACAGCCAGTATAAAGTTCATAACAATACAGCATTTCATCTTAAATGATCAATGGAAGTAATAACAGAATTTGGTCCTGTTATTCAGAGTTTTTTAAATTTGTACACACACATTTATAAATATGATAGAATACGTTTTACAAAAACGATATACAAACAGTAATTTTTTTATATTGATAAATGAAACAATGGCCGAACATGGACAAAATATTTTTGGTTACAAAGATGATCTTGTGAAATGAAGAGATGCATCCTGTAGGGAGCTACAGCTGACCAAGATGACTGTGATGAGTTAGCTGGTAAGTGTCAATACTTTAAACAAGTGGCTTCTGTACACAGACATATCTTCTATGTTATATATAGAAGTGACGAGTTAGCTGGTAAGTACCAATACTTGAAACAAGTAGTTAAAACCAATCAGTGATAGCACACATTTTACTGAAGCTTCAAACTCAACTTATTACTTTTCTAAGTTGGGGGGAAGTAAATAAATCCCTTTGACATTGTTACTGCAACAGTTCAGTTTTTTTAAATTGTTACTTATGAAGATAAGAATGCATTGTTTCATCATTATTTAGGTTCCTTCACCGGTAATGGTACTCTCAAGCATAAACCCAATAATATTTCATGAGGTTTCACCAACTTAGAAGATTACCCCTAAATCCATTTGCTAACAATGCAAAACAATCTCTGTAATAAGAGTATTATAACATAACATTCTGGAACAACATGGGATCTATGGGTCCAATTCGGCTGTTCCATCTTCTGAAACCAGCCCTTATCATTCATATACTTATCAAGCTTTCTCTTAAACTCACTTAAATTTATTGCTTCCACAACATTCGAAGGCAACCAATTCCAAAGGCCAACCACCCCGTTAGAAAAATATAGTACACTCCAGAAGAAGGTGTTGAACTTCACACAAGACATTCTTTATGGAGTACAGTACACTCCAGTAGAAGGTGTTGAACTTTACACAAGACATTCTTTATGGAGTACAGTACACTCAAGTAGAAGGTGTTGAACTTTACACAAGACATTCTTTATGGAGTACAGTACACTCAAGTA